TGGCAGGTAGTTGCACTGCATGTGGTTTGAAAATACCAGCTGCACTGCAGAAGAAAAGATGGACAATCTTCTCTGTGTGATTTACTGCCCCTGAAAACCTTCTGGGTCAGCTAGGGGTTAGTTCTGATTCTATAATTCTTTGGTAAACAACTACCACCACTTTTACTTTTAAAACAAAATAGAATTTTGAACTTGATAAGTCTTATTTCTGGGTCTTATTTCTTTAAGAGCAAAGGGAAGTTAAGTGATTATAAATTATCCCAGAATCATTTTATATATAATCACTTGGGCATTTATCATCTATACATTATCATTTGTGTTTACCATTAGATGTAGTAACTTTAGAATTGATCTTTAAAAATGTAGAGCCACAAGGACAACAAAACAAAATAAACTAAAAAAAAAATCTGCATTTTACCTTAAGTAGGATTTCAGAATCTATTTGAATCTAGGTTAGTTCTGCCCCAGATATCTAACATTGTAGTTTAAAACTTCATTTTATGAAACGATGTGAATGTTGTCCAAGAGAAAGCATAACTAAATCCAGAAGCAATTCCTCCTGAGATATGAGGCTCATAGCCATACTCTCTCATCTTATTGATTTATACTGATACAGAGCATAATGCATTTTAGAAGCTTCCATAAGGTTGGAGGAGGTAAACCACTGATTTGGTTTTGCCAATTCTTACCTCCTCCTCAAGCATCCAATTCTTTTCAGTCAACACCGGGAAAACAAGTCATCAACAAGTTTGTTTCCTAGTGGCAAGAAACTGCACAGCACTACTGAAAACATGTGGTTCGAGGCAACCAGCTGCTTCATGAGAGAAAGATGCGCAATCTCCTCCCTTGCGATCAACTGCCTCTGAAAATCTGACTGTGGGTTCAGACTCTACGGTACACAACAACAATCAACAGCGTTAAAAGTTTGTTGTTGTTGTTAAAAGAAGAAAGAAAAATTAATGGCCAATTTAAAAACACAATTAGAAGACAAGTTATTAAGTATTTTTTTTAATTTTCAACTTGCGGTTCTAAGGGTAGTAGGTAAAGATTCTTAGGTTACAAAAAATGCATTTTTTGGGGGTAAAAGTTCTTCCTAGAAGTTTGAACCAATTTAAAAATGATCGTGTCCCTGCAAAATGAAATTACAGCTTGAATAACTTAAGAAGAGAAAGAGATGAAGAGATACGTCATGTGTCAGCATGGAAAGCCACCATTTTACTACCAAATTACCTTTATCACTCTGCTATTTGCCCAACCTATTCACAAAACTGTCTTTTGCGATTAGGAAATTCCAATTATGTGTCCTTTGGGTGTGAGCACAAGTTACCTTTTACCATTACCACAGCACTACATCAGAATATTTTCATCTAATTAAAATATTAAGTTGAATGTTACTTTTAGTACATGAAAGTGACTTGAAATTGTCATTGTTTTCTAACAGGGAACAAATTCGCCCAACAGAGCAATGCATTACTAATTCCACCCTCCCCCCCCCTTCACCCCCAAGTGAGCTCATGATTAATGAGGAAATTCTTTTGGCTAAGTGGATAAGAGTTGCATTTCCACTCTAAAGGCATGTGGTTCAAATCCACCAGCTGCTGCAGAGGAGAAAGATGGACAGACATCTCCTGTGTAATTTTCAGCCTCAGAAATGTGGTAGAGGGTCAGGTAAGGGTCTATTATGACTTCATGATAAATAACACTACCATGAACATGATTAACTTCATTTTATTGAATAGTCAGAGAATGTAAAAAACACTCAGTGGCACTTAGACATAGCTAATTCATAGCCCAGAAGCATTTTGTAAAAAGGCTAGTAGTTGCCAATCTCTCTAACTATGGAGAAAGAAATGCTTGAAGTAGTTGGAAAATTGTGAATATAGAAATCATTATAACATTCTCTATTACCAAATAGAGTAAACCCAGTTTGGTTCCATTGATAGCAAACTTCCTTTAGTTTTCTGAGGCCATAAATCTTTATAAGAGGAGACTTTCATATTTTTCCTGTGGAGCACATGATGGATTCAAATTTCCAGTGTTTTTCTTAGAAACATGACACGTTACACACTATAATGTGTAATGTTACCTGGGCTCCTCTAGTAACCTTAGTCTCTTTCAAAATAACTAATCAGTTTTGTGAGATATAAATACTTCATAACTCACAGTCATGGACAAGGAAATAGAATAGCTAAAAAGCAATCTTTGAACCAATTTACCAGATCCTTCACTGATCTATATAATCCTTATGAAAACTAAAGCCATCCTATTCAAGCTTTATCTGGAATTCCTAATAAGCTTAATGCAAATATGAGATATAAATGTAATTTTCCTGAAGTGTGCCAGACAAAAATGACAAACTTATTTGAGTTAAAGGAGCCTTAGTGGCATAGTACATTACATGTTGGGCTGCAAATGGAAAGGTTGTAAATTTGAAGGCATCAGGTGCTTCTTGTTGAGTACTTTTAAGTCATAAGTGACTCATAACTGACCACCAAGCACGTTTTCAGAGGCAGTAAATAGGATAGTGAATAAGGATCACAGAAGAAGAATTGATACCTTTGAACTGGTTTTGGAGAATAGTATGGAATATCCTGTGGACTGCCAAAAGAAGAGACATGTCTTGGAAAAGGTGAAGCCAAGATGCTCCTTGAAGGCAAAGATGATGACATTTCATTTCACATACTTTCGGCATGTTCCTAGGAGAGGCTGTTCATTGGAGAGAGACATCATGCTTGGGAAGGTGGAGGGACACACAGGAAAGGAAAAACAAAGAAAACCTTTTCAACAAGATGGACTGAAAGTGACTGTGGCAATGTGCTCAAGTGTGTCAAAGAATGGGAGGATGGCATGAGATAGGACAGGGTTCAGATCTGTTGTTTAAAGGGAAGCTATGAGTTGTACTAAATCCAATAGCACCTAACAACAACAAAAACAAATTGCACGGGAAGAGATTGCCTTTCTCCTGTGGAGCAGATGGTGGATCTGACCCATTTACTTTTGGGATGGCAGCACAACTTCTTACCACTTAGCAACCAGAGCAAGATTTATAGCCTTGAAAACCCTGCAAAGGGTGGCTGTGATACAGAAACCAAAAATGTGGCAGTGAGTTTTTTGTTTGGTTTTGTTACTAATGGGTTGTGACTGTCACTGAACAAATGAATAAAGCTTATTTTATATCTTCATCCCTAGTGTCCTGGTGATGGTTATTTGTGTGAGTCTCCCCTCAGATTAATGATGTACCCTGAAAACTACCAACTTCTCCTTTTAAGATTTGTTACCAAAGAGTTTACAAATGTATGCAATGAAACTGGTAATGGGAAATATGAAAAATTAAATCATTTTGCTGTCAAATAAATTTGGGATAGCTGAGTGAAATAACATCAAATTGCTTGTTATTTTAGGACTTCTGTGAATGTCTGTATCCTAAATTTAGCCAGACTGCCTGAGTTCAAATCTAGGCTTCATTAATTGTAATTATATTTATTATCTTGGGTAAATTATTCAACCTTTTTTCCCTTCAATTTCTTCAAGTATAAAATTGTTATTATAATGGTACTGGTTTCATAAATTGTGTCACTCACTGAAAGTGAGCAGGATACGAAAAGCTTGCTGTAGAAAATCAAGTACTATGGTCTTCAGTATGGATTATATCTCAACATCAAGAAAAGAAAAGTGTTCTCCACAGGACCAAAATTATTAGAAATGGTGAAACAATTGAAGCTATCAATGATTTAATCTTGCTTGGATCAACAATTAGCATGCTTGGTCCCAACAGGCAGTAAATCAGGAAATGTAGTGAATAGGACAAGAAAGCTGTCAGAGACCTCTCAAAAATGCTGAAGAGCAGTGACGTCAGTTTGAAGACTAAAGTGTGTCTGATTAAGACTGTGGCATTTGCATCATCTGCTATGCATCAGAGAGCTGGACAATGAATAAGGACAACAGAAGAGGGATTGATGCCTTTGATCTGTGATGCAGGAGGAAAGTAGTGAATATACCATGGATCAGCAAAAGAACAGAGATATATCTTGGAGAAGGTGAAGCCAGAGTTCTCCTTGGAGGCAAGGATGGTGAAGCTTCATGTCATATACTTTAGACAGGCTGCTAGGAAAGGCTATACCTTGTAAAGGGACATCATGATCGGAAAGATAGAGGTTAGCAAAGATTAGGAAAACCCTCAGCAAGGTGGATTGACATAGGGACTTCAGCAATGGGATCTGGTGTGTCAGAGGTGATGAGGATGACACAGTATAGGACAGGGTTCAGGCTGGTTATTCATCAGATCACTATGACTTGTATTCGACGATACCTAACAACAACAGCAAACAACTTCATAAACTTGTATAAATTGACTAAGAGAATATGCAGGAAACCTTTAGCATAGGTCTAAACTGTAGTATTATGAATATTTTGAGGACTAGATTGAATTTTTAAAAATTCATTTTTTCCATAATACCACAAATATTGGGAGAAAATACATTTTCATTAATGCCTTATGTTCCTTATAAACAATCTGTATAATGAATAGAAACCTAGTAGTAAAACTAACAACTTTTTTTCTACAGAATACTTTTTAAATTTTTTTATTATTAATTTTAATGAACACTTACAGAGACTTTGGATTTCCATTCATTCACTGTTGCACTTTTCTCCCTGCCCACCCCTTCTGCCCCAATTCGCTCTTCTCTTTGAAAAGTAAAAGAAAAATTCTTTCATTGTTATACAATCCCTCTCCCAAAGTTCACTCCACTATGCAGCCTTCGTTCTGGACTCCTGTCATGACAATAATACCTAATCATACAGCCCTTGTTTTAAGACCAAATTTATCGCATAACCAGTGTTTCTTCTCCACTCATCCCTCAAATGCCTGTCAGATGGTGGTATCAATAATAGGGAACATCACTATGCAGACTCTAAAATGTTCTTTCTACTTTCTTGACATACTCATATTCCCTTGATGTTTGTTGTATGACCAAATGGTTTTCTTCTCATTGTCTCAGGCAGGAAAAGTTCAGTTTGGCTATGTGTATGGCATGAGTGCCATTGGCTGCATTGGGATTCACGGCTTACTGAACTTGATGAGCTCTTCAGGGGTGTCCTACGGCTGTGTGGCAAGTGTGCTTGGTTACTGCCTGCTCCCCATGGTCATTCTGTCCAGCAGTGCCATCTTCTTCTCATTGCAGTAAGTGTCTCTGTGAACTAATTGACCCCCTATGCACAATTATCACTAAGGCTTGCCACATTGAGTAAAAGTTAACCTCTTTCTGATCAGCTGGGAATTTAGGAAAGTATGTCTACTAGAAGCTTCACACAGTTTTGGGAAACTAGGCCAGTTTTTTTTTCTCTCTAGTGCTGTTCCTCTTTCAATAATTAAAAAAAAGCCAAATTATGTCTAAAACTGACATTTATAAATTGTCACAGTCTTCATTATAAACTGTTTTGTGGGTAATGAATCTATGACACAAAATTCACTTGTTTGATTTTGGAAGAATGAGTATGTGGTGAACACTGACAAATTGTTTTATCTCCCAGGCATTCTGTCTTCTAGGCTAGAAGCAACTTTTCTTTCTCAGCTTGACTCCTTGCAGCCCCGAATTCTCAGGAACCCTGATGAGGATGTTAGTGCTTAAGAATGTCATAGCGTAGATGCTCAGTCATTTTTTTCTCCCCTTCCTTCACTTAGTTGGTACACGTAATAGGTATTATATGATCCCTTGGGTGGGAGATAGAAAGTTATCACACAGTCTTTTGTCACTTGCTCTGCCCTTAAACCACTTAGAAAGAAATATTTCCCATAAGTGCTTATTATAGCACATCCAAATGAAACACAGTTTGAGTTTGCTTTTAAGTTGATCCAAATCATAGCTTATTAACACTACATTACATAAGATATTACATAAAGCATTCACCAGAGCCACTAAAAAACATCTTGGAAAAATCCTTTAATATTTTGTTTTGATACAGTATCATATATTTAATTTTTTGTAACTTTCACAGATATGACCTATTTAGAGATGCCTTTAATTTTTGTTTGAATTTGATCTCAATTTTACCTTTTTATTTTACATTTTAACATTTCTGAGAATGACTTAGAGCAAATATTTATGCTACCAGCAATTATTCCACTTTTAAAAAAGAGACCATTGACAGAAAGCAAATACTCTGAATCCATAAAGATAGCATGAATTATAGGTCTATCTAATGAATATTATCTGTGGGAAAATTCCACATTTCTCCATGGAAAACTGTATATCCCAGGGAGGGGAAAATCAGGTTGTTACTTGGAGTCAAGAATTGTGAAACTCTGTCCAACATGCTTTGGACATATTACCAGAAGGGACTAGTCCATTCCTGGATGGGAGAAGGATCAGAATAGGAGAGGAAGATACTGGATGAGATGGATTGGCACAGTGACTGTGTCAGTGGGGAAAGAGGTGTCAGAGACAGTCAGATAGACTGATTCAAGATAGAGAGGGCCCTACTATTGTTCATAGGGTTGCTGTGAGTCATAGTAGGCTGAATAACACATGAAAACAACGACAAAAGGAATCTCTAAGAAAATCAAACTATAATTCCAATTTTGGTCTATTACTCTGTCATCCAAACTAATCATACATAATTTTATATTTACCAGAAAGATAGTTACTTGTGTTTTATTGTCTATGTAAAGACATTTGACTTAGTGGATCACAACAAATTGTGGATAACCTTGAGGGGAACGGGAATCCCAGAACATTTGATTGTGCTTATGTGAAACCTATAGTTTGATCAGGAAGCAGTCAGTCCTCAGAAGAGAGCAAGGAAATACGGCATAGTCCAAAATTGGGAAAGGAGTGCATCAAGGATGCTTCCTGTTTCTATACCTTTTCAACCTATATGCAGAACAGATCATTCAGGAGGCAGGGCTTTATGAGGAGGAATGTGACAACAGGATTGGAGGAAGACTCATAAACCACTTACATTATACAGATAACACAAACTTGCTTGCTGAAATTGAGGAGGACAGAAAGTGCTTGCTATAGAAGGTCAAGAACTGTAGTCTTCAATAAGGATCGAAGCTCAACATCAAGAAGACAAAGATTCTCACCAGTGGGCCAATTGGCAGCACCATGATAGACGGAGAGGAGATTGAGGTTGTTAACAACTACAGCTTGATGAGCTCCACAATCAACACTCTTGACACCAGCAGTCAGGAAATCAAAAGATGAATTGCATTGAGAAAATCTGCTGTCAGGGACCTCTCCAGAGTACTGAGAAGCAATGATGTCACTATAGAGACTATGGTGTGCCTGAAGTAGGCCATGGTCTTCATAATTATTTGTTATGCATCAGAGAGCTGGAATAATGATGACAGAACAATCGATGCCTTTGAATTATGGTGCTGGAGAAGCGTCTTGAGCATACCAGGGACTGCCAAGAAAATAAATAGGTCTGTCTTCGAGAGGATGAAACCAAGTTTCTCCTTGGAGCCTAGGATTTTGAAGCTACATATCACATACTTTGGGCATGTGTCCAGGAGGGACCAGTCCTTGGGTAAGGACATCAAGCTCAGAAGGGTGGAAGTACAGACCAGGAGAGGAAGACTGCAAATGAGATGGATTGATACAGTAACTGGAGCAATGGGGTAGGTATATCAGAGTAATTGAGTCAGGCTCAGGACAGGGCAGGCTTCAGAGATGTTTTACAAAGGGTGTATAACAACAAGAACAACATTTACTAATGGCATATAACAACAAGAACAACAACTACATTAAAATGGCTACTTCTGTCAGTCTTATATATGAATAGTAAATGTAATTCTCAACTTCAGGTTCAATACTGGATCAATTAAAGCATCATACCTGATTGTTGAAAGAGTAATGCCCTAGAAGATAAAAGCGCTTGACCTGATGACTGCTTTACTATGAAAATTTTCCCAGGTCATTTTATAGTTCTAAAAGTGAGGACTAGATGTTCTCCTGGAGCTTCTCCTGGCTCCTACATTTTTACGTTCCTAAATGATACATTCTGTTTGCACATGAGGAAGGAAATTCACTCTACCATGTTCTGCTCCCATTTTCCTCTTACGGTAGCTCATTTGTTCTTATGGAATGGATTGCTGCCACAGTTACTTTTTGCAGCTGTTGATTTAAAGATATTAATCTCAATATTCTGAAAGATACACACATGAAAAATGGGTTTTACAGATGAAGGTTGAGGTCACATACATATCTGAGCCACGTTGGCTTTATCATACATGAAAAAAACCACATAAAGTGGACCTAAGAATAATCATCTTACGAGACTACAACATGTTCATGGATATTTCTGTTCATCTTATGACTCAATTTCAGAAGAAAGTAGTAGTAAGTAAATATAAAGCTGTAAACAAGGCTCTAAATATAGTTTAAATCAGAAAATTTTAAGAGTTAGACATGACTGTTAATAGATGACAGAGGATACAAATGAATTTTCGTTTCTAAATGAGTTTTTCCTGATGTAGAAAATGTTTATATTGCTAGTCTTTGATAGCGAATTTGGCTTAAACTTTTCTAACAGATTCACCACCAATGACACTTTACAAATGGTCAGTGTTTTGCAAATATTTTACTGAAGACAATTCAGAGAACTCTGACTAAACTTCATTTTTGTCTTTGCAATAGGGGAACTGTGGGAACGGTGTCTGCACTGGTCATCATTGGCTGGTGTAGCCTTTCTGCTTCGAAAATCTTCACTTCAGCCTTAGCCATGGAAGGACAACAGCTTCTTATTGCCTACCCTTGTGCCTTACTTTATGGACTTTTTGCTCTCCTTACTATTTTCTGAAAGTGTTTTAAGTATCCTTAGGAGATTATCGTAGAAATGTATTCTCATTCAAATTCGATCATATGATTTCTATTTTATTGGCTTTGAGAGAACAAATAATCCTAGAGAAAAACAGCACTTAAGCCATCCCACAATTTGCTCTAACAGCCTGTTGGGTTTGAAAGTTGCTTTGCTTTTTGTAATCATGCATTAAACCGCTTTACTTCAAAATAAAATGCAATTAAAATGCTCTTTGTTCCCCATTAGTCTTAATGCAGGGACATGGTTGGTATACTAATGAATCTCATTGCTCTCAAAAGATATATTTCTGAGAAATTCTAAATAAATAAAAGCATGTGTTATTCAAAAGAAATCTACTGTGAGTCTTTGAGAAACCATCAGGAGAGCTCAGCTGTGTGCCATTGATAAAGTTTCACTGCCCAGAAGCTTTGGGAACTATCATGAATGGATTATGTAGAGGTTTTTGTTTTTATTTTTCGTTGGGACAAAAGACCTTGAATATTTAAGAACTTTTGCTCTTTCAATTTACTTTAACAAGTTTTCTTTGAACTGGCTAAGATAATTCATTGAATCAGACATTTCTCAAGTCCTCCTTTATCTTGCCAGCAGTTTGTATGCTCTGGTCTATCACTACAATTTCTTATATAATAAAGACTTTCTTTTTGTTTTTTCTAAGAATTTATACAGCAAAGTATACACTAATTCAACAATTTATATATGTACAATTCAATAAATCTGATTTAATTCTTTGAGTTGGGTAACTATTCACATCCTCCTTTTATCACTATTTCTTGTTTGTACATATATATTTTTTCAATATCTTTGCTAGTTACTTCCTACAGTAGCCTAGTATAAGTAGATAAAGTAATGCTTATTCCACAATAAATATTAACATATCTTACTTAAATGGCTTCTCAATCTTGTCCTTCACTGGTGCATTTGTTTTACACTTTCTGAGATGTCTATGTAAAAATACCATTTCTTCACTCATTAAGTTTTCAACATTCTGCTAATGATTTCTGACACAAAATACCTGGAGCTAGGCCAAATTTCACAAGTTAAAGGCACAGTTCTACTCAATACTATCCTCATTTTAGACATGAGTCACAAATTCAGGAAATATCAGGGCAATTCTTACTTCTTTCTAGCTGGCTAAAAATCCAGGGCCTTTCTACTCCTACCTCGTGTTTATTAATTTATTTGAATGACTCATATAATTCACTCAAAGTCCTTGCTCTTTTTGTTACTAGTTGCTATTGGGCCAACTCTGATTCATGTCTTATATACACTTTTATGTATTTACATGCAGTTTTGTTATAGCAAATGGATATAAACCAGGACAAGTCAGTGGGAAAGATACCTAAAGCAATATCTGAAAAGGCTCAGATTCGAAGCTTCTGTGTTACCAATAATTTGTAATTATCTGGGCACATTGACATATGTGGAATACTGCTTATCAAGGAAGCTTCAATATTTGGAATTCTTATTAGAATGACAATACAAAGACATGATTGGTTGATTTACTTTTCTCTTATAACTCTCTTCCATTTCTAAGCTTCCTCCTCTTGCTGTTGAAAATCATGCTTCATCTTATGCACCTCTTCATTTGTGTTATAATTTTAGTATTAAAGTTGTTTGTTACATTTATGATAACTATTTGAACATTGTGAGTTATTCCAGCAAAGGACTCAAAAGAACAGAGAGGGCTGACTCACTTGAAGTCAAGGTAGTCAGTCATGGACTTTGGGACATGCACTTGATGCATTAATGAAAAACAAAACAAAACAACACACCAAAACCCAACAATCTTTTGTTTAAGAACTACCTGGTCTGAAATGGAGATACTCAAGAGGGATTCCTAAGCATTCAGCTAGTACATATTGACCCAGCCTACCTGTGCTGGGGTTGAGAGAGGATAGGGATTCATGTGATATTGAATTCTGAACTGAGTTAGAAGGGAGGCTCAGACGTTCACAGCATGTAACTAGCATGTAATTATTCTGAGCTGCCATCAAATCAGCTATGACTCATAGCAACCCTGTGAACAATATTTGGAACCTTGCCCTAACATGTAGTATCCTCACAAAATGTGCCATGCTCAAGCTCATCTTTGAACAAATTGTATCAATCCTTTTAGTTGAGTGTCTTACACTCTTTCACTAGTCCTTTACCTTTTCTAGTATGATGCATTTTCTCAACGACTAACCTCATCTGACAACATGCCTAAAATGAAATGGTATTTGTTATCAGTCACATAATATGGTGTCAATGGTGGATGATCTTTGCATACTTGAATGGTTTTTGTAAGATTGACATAAAGAGAGGTAGGTAACTCTAGCAGTGCACTTTCTATGAAAGCAGTATTAGGAGCATTTGGGAATGTTTTTGAAATTCAGAATTTAGGCCCTACCTCAGATTTACTGAATCATGACATTTTAATAAAATCCCGATATGATACAGAGTTTGAAAAACAATAATGAAGAAGTGTGTATGTGTGACCTATATTTTACCTTCCTTACTTGATATCTTTCCACTATCTTTCTTGTTGATTGGTTTTCTTGCTGCTCCTTAAGCTGTCAATTTTATGTATGTCAGAATTTTTATACTTGACATTCAATCTATCTGTGACATTCATTATCAAAATTTTTCATAGTATTTGGGTCTCTGTTCAAATTCACCAACCTCAGAGAGAATTTCTTTCACTAGTTATACTTTCTGACCACAACCCCTCAGTCAGTGTGTTCTACTGTATGATTTTTTTTTGTTACAGTGATGTTGCAAGCAATGCCACTAGAATTTCAAGTACCAGGAGTATCACTCATGGTGGACAGCTTTCAGACTAAGACTAAAAAGTAGAACTGGCCATTCCGTTCCTAAATAATGATCTCAAACCCCTATAACTAGCAGTACAGAATTATCTGTTACAGTGCCAGAATATGAGGTCCACAGATTGTAAGCAGTCAAGATATGATTGGGGAAGAGCTACTTCCTCAAAGTAGAGTCCGTTTTAAAGATATGGATCAAGTAAAGCTTTCAGCCATTGGAAAAACCTTCATTTTCTTATGTGTGATAATGTAATTGTATCATCACAAGGAAAGGAAGTTTCTCTGGGGTGTGGTATATAAGACTAAAGTAGGAAAAGAGAGTTCAAATGAAGAGAACTCATTACCATCAAGAAAATATTGCCAGGGGTAGATCGTGGTCTTTATTCCAGAAATCTCCTTGATACTGTAAAAAGATGAAGACACATGGATAGTTTCAAGAAACATCAAGGGAAATAAGGGCTTTTTTCTAGAACCAACAGAGAGAGAACCTTCTCCTAGAAGAAGTATCCTACATGTAGATTTCTAACTTCATACTGTGTTATTGTTAGGTGCTGTAATTTGCAGAAACCCTATGAACAATAGATCTGAACTTTGGACTATCCTGTATCATCTTCACATTCTCTGTCATGCTCAAACCCATTGTGATAGTCTCTGTGTAGATTCAACTCTTGGAGAGTCTTCTTCTCTCTAGATGTCTAAGGTTTATCATTCAGAATTGTCTTTCCTATCCAAAACATTAAACGTCTGTTTTATGATGAAATAAGTATTGTATCAAAGAGACAGGATGTTATGTAGATAAGCAGAAATTTGTGAATGGCACATGTTAGCCAATCTACAAGAGGACTGGCCAGTCTCAACGTTCTGCAAGGGGAGTGGGCTAGTCTTGACACTAGATTGAACAAATCAAAGTTAAATATCTTCTAGTGCCTTTGAAGAGACAGAAAGAGATTGTAGAATGACCCTTTTGCTCCAGCTACACTTACAACAGCAAAACCTATGGTTGAAGTGAAGGTCTAAAGTGAGATGGGCCCATGACGGGGGAGAGCCAATATGGGCAGAACTGAGAACTTTGTTAGGCAATTGGAGGGGGTTGGGGAACCAGTATTGATAGGACTGAGGACTTGGAAATCACTGGCCTGAAAGCTTGAAGCTCGAGGCTGAAGTGCCTGTCTTGAATGTAATCTGGATTATAATCTTTAACTTCCCCAGTTGGTTCTGTGTGATCTGTGGGCTATTGCATCAGATTTTGAACCCAGGAAAGCAGTAAGATTGGTGTTGAAATGAGTAGAAAGAGGTATGGGAATGTGGGAGGCACGTATGACTTCATAGGAATTGGTTATTGATGTTGTTTATGGAAACAGCTCCCCTTTGTACAGTTGGTAAAAGTCAGATATGGTCTCTATGTGGGCCTTGCTCTTTTTATAGCTTCTTTTTAGAACTTCTAACTTTCACAGCATGATCTCTCTCTCCAAGTATTCCTGATAATATGCCTAAAGTAGGAGATAGGAAGTTTCATCATCCTTGCCTCTTAGGAATACTCTGATTGCCCTTCCTTCAAGAAAAATTTGTGTGTTCTTTTGGCAGTCTATGGTATAGTCAATAGTCTTCTCCAACATCACAACTCAAAGACACATGTTCTTCTTTGGCCTTTATTACTCAGTGTTCAACTTTTGGATGCATAATAAGTAATTGAAAATACCATTACTTATAGCAGGGACACCTTAATATTTAAATTAACATTTTAGGTCCTTAACACTAGGAGGGGTCTTTGACAGCAGAATTTGAGTGTGCTAGGTATTTTGATTCCTTGAAAGCTGCTACTGTGGGTGTTGATTGTAGATCCAAGCAAAGTCAAATCATCAGAAACTTCTTCTGCCACTATCCTCATCCTGGACGTGACATACAGCCCCAGAATGTCCATATCTTCCATCAAACAAGGTTAGTGTGCACCCCACCTATGTAGCATTAGATATAAGCCAACAATAACCATTCTACCCCAACCAACAGGAATGCATAGAAAACAAACGGAAAATTACACAGATACCAGACTGCATATCATACATATACCAGAAGAAAGCAGATTTAAAAAAAAAATCTATAATAAACTATAAAAAGAGCACGAGCCATGGGACAGCCATGTCTGATCTTCACTGATTTAACTGTCCTTGTCAACAG